GTTTTTTGTATTTTTTTTTTTTAGTAGAGACGGGGTTTCACCGGGTTAGCCAGGATGGTCTCGATCTCCTGACCTCGTGATCCGCTCGTCTCGGCCTCCCAAAGTGCTGGGATTACAGGCTTGAGCCACCGCGCCCGGCCTGATGTATCCTTGAGACAGAAATGAGGGAAAGGGAAATTTTTATGCATTGAGAGAGGAAGTTTGTGAATTTTTTCGCTGGCCGTGAAGTCAGGGAGACTTCAGTCCACCCTGAGCTTGTGACCAAGCCTCACTTTCCTTATCTATAAAGATGACAAGAGTGATTTTTGTAAGTTTATTTATCTGTAAAGGGGAAACTGCAACAACTTTGATATTACAGGGTCAAAAGAAAAAAGGATGAACATGAGAACAAGGGAGAGAGACAAGAGAGAGAGCAGTGTCACGTATAACTGTGGGCAAAGCGCTCACCATGCCTCTTTCCCTTTGTTTCCTCGTCTCAAAAAGGGATATCATAACATTTATGCTTTCTGAGGTTGTTATGAAGATTAACTTAGGTGATATAGCTAATGTGTACTTCCTGTGTTCAAAACATTCTAATATGTATTATTCCCTCCCTCTCCACCCAAGAAACTCCTTACATACAGATGAGCTCAACATCCAAATTAAAATGCTTCGACAAGTTAAAAGGGAAACCTTTAAAATGATTAAATACTGAAAAGAGCTTAAGGTTATCTCAGGGAGAGGATAATCAAACCTAGGCAGGCTTCTTTGGACTGTCTCTCCTGAGAGAGGCCTGCTCTTCCCTCACCACCAAAACATACCCCAGCTAGATTCCCAAGAGCAGCAGTGGTCACCCAGGTGGCCTCTCATTCCGTTTTCTGCACAAAAAGACATTAAACATATAGCTCAGTAGCTCCCAGTGTAAAACAGAACATCACCCGATCTCTACCTCTGAAGGTTGGGGACAGTCCTTTCTAGCCACTCTTCAGCTTTAGGGGGGTTGGTTGATATCAGGGACAGCTGACAGCCTTATTTAGCCAACCAGCTGCTCTGTGATACACAATGTCCCTAATGCTCAAAGTCTGGTGGATGATTCTTTTGTATCCACATAAGCAGCAGTTGGAGGAGAATCGATGAGTCCCTTTGGTTGCCTCGGGGTGTCAAGGCTGCCATTCAAATCATTACCACCATAATTATTAACCATTGTTTTAGTGAGATGTCTGCCAGACAATTGTTTTTCTTTATTTTTTAATCATTAAAAAAAGCAATCAAATTTCACTAGAGCAAAGCTTGCCTCAAGTTGCATCAACACATTTATTAAACCCCTTCTGTTTGCCGAGCTCAATGGAAAGTCTTGGAGGAGGGAATACTTTAAATGCTCTCTGATTTAAAAGAATTGATAATGCTGTGGGGAAGAGGTTCACACAAAAAAACAATTACAGGAAGAAGCTCGCTAGTACACAATACACTGGCACAGAGTATCACAGACAGTGCCACTTTCATATGCTGGGTTTTATTTCTGTGGCAATGGGGTGCTTGGGAGGAGCCGCACTGTGTAGAGGATTTGGAGAAGTGGGGTATTGTGGTGGGAAATTGCTTTCTTTCCCAGCAGGTAGGAGAAAAACAATCAAGGAGGTGGACAGGATGGGCACCCCATTACAGCAGCCACCAGAGCCTGACTTTTTGATGAGAGTACATCAGTTAGAACAACTGTTAAAAGTATCTTCAAAGGTAAAAATACTGTTAAAAGTATTTTTGCTTCAGGATGAATGATGTGGCCGGTGTGATTCAGCGATAAATTCGGAAGCCTTGTCCCTATTGTGGCTTGCGGCCACATTTCGAACCCATTTTTCAAGCATGTTAAACCCAAGCGCAGCGCAGAGGGCTGCACACGGGGCAGTCACAAACCAAGCTGAATAACCTTGCTGGTGGGCATGTGTTGGATGCGCTGCTAATGCCTGTTTGCGACAATACTCGCTAGTCCCGGTGGTGGCGGTGTTCGCAGGTAACAATGTTTACCACCGTGAATGGAATTTGTTTGATTAACCCTGATCAGAGGATGAAAACACTAAAGAACCAAGTGAGAAAGAGGGAAGAGAACCGCATAGGAAACAGCAGAGCGAGTGGACGAGCGGAACGCAGAGCCCGCCAGGAGCGAGTGGAAGCTCCCTGCGGGCAAGGACCGGGCCGCCGCCCTGCCCTGGGCGTGGCGGCCTCGGGCTCAGGGACGCGCTGGAAGCAGCGAGACACCCCCACGCCGAGTGCGCTTCGGGACCAGACGGCCGCGTTCGGTGGAAGTGGGTGCTGGTGAAAGCCTAGAAGGCGTCTGGGTCCACGCGCGCAGTCGGACGTCGGGTCCAGGGAGAGACTAGGGCTGCGGCGGGGCGGGCGGGCGGGGCCGGGCCCCTGAAGCGCGAGGGTGGGAGTGAAAGCAAAGAGGGAAAAAGTAGAGAGAGAGGACAGTGGGGCCCAGCGCCGCGCGAACGGCAGGAACAGACCCGCGGAGAGGGACGGGTGCAAGTAGGTCCACGGCGAGCGTGGGAACACAGGGTTCAGCCTCCTGCGGCGGGAGAGCACGCGGACCCCAGGGGCGGGCGGGTGCGACAGGACGTGACCCGGAAGCTCGGCGCGTGCCACCGCCCTAGAGCAGGCATCTGGTCTTCGTGGAGCGGGCAGGCGGGCCCCGGGTCTCTGATATGCACCAAGGTGAGACTAAAACACAGAGAAGAGCAGTTAACTTATACTGGCATTATCTTGGACCCTGATTTACTGTGGGATCCTTTGCTGTTATGTTCCCTTATGTTGAAAGATGCATCTGGCCCTACACAAAACACAGAATATGAGTAGGTAGGCACATACAGTTCTAAGCTAACCCCTGGGGGTACCAGGAGACAGCACTGTCTCATGTCGTTGCATGACACACCAGTATGGGGCAAAACATTTGCTGAATGAAAAGTTACAATAAGGATACAATTGTATCTACATAAACGTTTAAAGCTGTCTCTTATACACATCTAGATGTGTATAAGAGACAGCCCTTCCTTTCCCTGGTCGTCGTCTTCCCCCTGGGTGAGAGCGGGGCTCATCTCCTCCACCCGGTTCTCCATCTCCAAATGCACACGCAGAGGAAGACTCTAAACCGCGCACCTCGCGCAAAAATTAACTAGAAAGAAAGGGCGCGATCGGAGGCGAGGGGCTGCAGCTGCCAGGGATCCCCTTCTTTCGCACCCCTCTCCCTTCTCAGTGCTTAGACGCATTTGGGGTTGAGGGAGGGAGTGGGAGGGCCCGGGCCTCTTGCGATGGAAGTGCGCATTTTGGCGAAGTCGGTGAGAAGGGGTTTCTGCCGTTTGCCTCCCACATGAACATAGGAGCGAAGAGGACGTAAAGGACACAATTAAGTTTCATTTTCAACTCAGCGTTCAATCAGAAGAATCTTCCGGCCGTGTAATTTTTGCTGTAGTTTTTAATCCTAAAAATAAGCTTGCTGGAAACTCTTTCTTTCTCGTGACCCCCACGCCCCATCAGCCACTTGCATACATTCTAAATTGTACGTTGAAGTTTTTCCCACTTTATTTGGGGGAACCGTTTTAAAAGTAATCTGGATTTCGCCTGAAATAGGAAGACAGTAACCTCCAGTCAAAACATGTGCAACAGAATGGGATTTGGTGTCTTTCGACGCCAAAGAACCTCCCCCCCGCCACCCCCCACCCCGAGCTTTTGGAATCCATTTCGCTTTTGTAAAACGTGTGCTTCGTCTGTAAAAACTGAGCGAGGAATAGAAACATTCGTAGCTCTACAGTGAGTGCCTGTCACACTTCACATCTATAGAGCCTTTTGTGAACTTTTGTAAGATTCAGAATTCAGCTTGAGTACCAGTAACAGCAATTGTTACATTTATCCTAGAATGCTAAATTAATTCAATTTTAAACTGATTATTAGCCTCAGTGTGCCATTCCTAAAGGCTTGTGACTTTAGCTATTTCCAAGATGCCCTTAAGTCTCTGCTGACCACTTGAATCAACATCTCCGTTATCTAAATGGTTGATGTTAGTGTTTCCTGCCATCACGTTTAGTATGCTTGTTGCCTTTACTATCATTATTGCCAAAACTGCTTTCAGAGATGTGTTGTATAATCGCATAATTTCAGAACGCTTTCATTTGGATCCAGATATGAAGTGATACAGTATCACTTATTCAAATTGCCTAAATAGTAAAAAGTATAAACCGTATACTATTTTTAAAACAGGTAGATTAGATTTAAATCAAGTAGATTAGAACTGTTGGAATGGTACTTTGAGTGATAGGATTTATGTTAGGCCTTCTTTAGTAATAGTTAATATCATGTAATTAGCATTCGTTTATACACAATTTTAATGTGTTCGAATCCCTAGAGTCATAAAATTCAGAATTTATAGTATTTTATTGTACTTAGTTAATATTAACCTGAAAACCCACAAAAATACAGGCATTATGCAATTGATTTAAGTGTGGACTGTAAAACAGGAAGTGATAGTATTTGTTATAAAATGTTTTTGTATGTGTTTAATATATAGCTTCGAAAGGGACATGTATGAAGAAAGATGTCTCAGCAAACCAAGGGTTTGAGAGACTGACTTTAGAATCTAAATGAGTAAGAAAGTCATGGATCTGTACATTCATTTCTACTGAAGTTTGATTTTGTTTTCAGTTTCATTAATTAAGCCCCAGGAATCAGGGACCTTTCCTGGCACCCTCTACAGTGTTAGTGGCCTTTGTGGTGAAAGAAGTTATCTCAGATACTCATTTTATGCAATTACAGGCAAACTGCAAGGCACCTTAATGGTTTGCGAGATGTGGAATGAATTACTATGTTGCGTTCCACTCTGCCCCTACTCATGTCCAATTATACTTTGTTTAAAAGTGCATGGTTTCAGTGGTATTTATTAGCTAGCAAATAAAACCTTAAATAAATAATGATGATGTTGTGAACTGTCTTTTTAGTGGTTCAATGATTTCTCTTTGTACAAAATGAGTTGTTTCTTTTTTGTTTTAAATCAGGGCACATATGATTAAATAAAATTTTTTTCCATTGTCTAAGTCTAGTAGTAATCCGGCTTGTTTAAATAAAAATGTTTTCTCTTAAAGAATATATTATTTTTAAATACAAGTTGCCATTTTAAGGAAGTAAACGCCTATTTAAAAGTACGTATTTATGGGGCCGCCCCAGCAGTCTAGAGGCAGTGTTTTTTAAAGCATTACACTAAATGCCTACCATTAGGACACTTGCTCATGCTGTCATCTGTGTTTGGGCAGATGTTTTATCTTTGCCACTGAGTTGTTCATGGAGATTTGAAAGGCCAGGTTCTAAAGATGAAAGATAGATGACTTTCCCCCAAATTGTTGCATATTCTAAATCCAAAATAATCACGCATGTTAGCAAAACTAGATTTACATTTCATAATACGAATTCAGCTATAGCTAGTATATAGGCATTGTTTTTAATATAGTAATGTTCTTTTTGTGACATAATTTTCAATCACTTTCCCTGTCTTTTAGGTTTCTGCCTACCTTTTTATACAAGATAAACATTTCTATTTTCATATCTTATATCTCAGTCTGATTTTAATAATATTGTCTTGGGTCATCATGAAGTTACTTTCACTTTGTATACTGGTGTAGATAATTCTTCTGTGATAAAAAGTGCAACAATAATAGTGTAGGATCAGTTTTGTTAAACTCATTGTAGTACTGAAGTAGAAAATACAGAGCACCCAGGAAATTTGATTCTGATATAGCTAGACTAAGACAATAGAATCTGGGGTTTTCCTCTTCATGATTATACAGTGTTGAAACAGAAATCAAGCTATACCCACCTCTGAATATTTCATTCCAAATCCATGGAGCAGTTGCATAAGAGTCAGAATCTGGTCAGTCTTA